AAGATGGACTAAACACAGACTATTATGATAAGATTATGTTATATATCCATTAGACTGCAAAGATTTTTGCAGTCTAATGGATATATAATATAATTGGGGGAGATTTGGCAATAATAGATATGAACTTGGTAGCAAGTATATTCAAGAAGATAACTCAATTTCTTTAAGTCTGAAATAACACTGTCCTTGAATTAATACAGTCTAACTTGGTAACTTACTTTACTGTTTTTGGTAACATATTTTACAAATCATTTACTTTAGATCCGCACGTGAGAAATAAGCTTTTTTTCTCACTCTATTTTATAATATACTTATTTTACGTATTTGTTTAATTTATGTTTTTTTATACATTTTATTGAAATAATTTTATCGAAATGAATTCAAACTAATTTTTTCCTGCACCCCGTCACATTTGTATTATTATTTTTTTGCTTTGGCAATATTGATATGCTTCCAGAAAGTACCTTTGAAAAAGCATAACAATGTGTTACATAATACGGTGTTACATATTTTAGTAATTAATTTATTTTTAATTAATTTATTTATTTTAGTGTATGTTAAATAAATATTTTTCATAAATATTTTTCTTAATTTTCAATTTTAACTTTTTGATTTTAAATCTTCCTTTAAGCTCTAGAATAATTTTTCTAATTTTTTTTTTAAATTTCTATTTGCTATACGTATATTATATATTTTATGTTCTATATATTTAGCAACTTCAACACAATTTGTAGTTCAACAACTTTTCTTTTAAAGTAAATTCCATACCTTCATTAAATTAAAACAATTAAATGAAAAATTGTAAGATAATTATGTTATTTTGACATATAATTTCTAATAAAAAAATATTTTTGAATTGCTTACTTTTACATTTGATTTGTTCTTATTAAATTTTTGACTATCAAAATATAGTTGAAAATTTCATAAATATGTTATACTACGTATGATTTCTTTCTGCTATGGACAAAAAGACTTTCTTTGAGACCAGCTAATAAATTCAATAAATTTAAATTAAAAATGTCCTTACATAAAACTGGAAAAATAGTTAATATAAATGTTTCTTATGTTAGCTTTCTTTATACTTATCATCTTTATAGCTTTGAAAACGCAAATCACTTCATCTAAGTTTATTTTAATAAATTTAATGAAATTTAAAAATCTAAAATATCGATCACTTTTTGCATGAAAATGAAAGTCATTTCAAAAGGCCTAGCTTGCATGTTTGAAATATTCAAGTTTAAAATATTATTCATTGAGCAATGGAAAGGTTGTTAAACAGTAGTTTCGTATATAGTCTACAAAAATGTTTACTAATGAATTAATAAGGCAATAAATTGTGATAAAACATGATTATTTCCTAATTATTAAAAAAAAATTCACAATAAATAATTAAACTACTTAGGGCTGTTACATAAATACCACCCTAAGAAAGATATTACAAAGATATCAAAATAAGTAAGAAATGTTTGAAAAATCATCATTAGTTGAGACTTTTAACTGAACAAGAACACGTGTGACAAAGAGACACGCATAAAAATACACTTGTAACAAATAGATATTAAACGAAAGCAAAAGATAGAGGATACTCAAAAAGCAATGTAGTGATTCTGAAGATGAAGTTAGAGATAGTATTGAAAAATAATATTGATCACAATTTTCTTTCTAACCTTATTGAGAAATGGATAAACTGCATGAAATATAAGAAAGGAGCTCGTAACATCTGTTCCAGTGTCCGCAAAAATGGCAATGTAGTTCTTGTTTGTGAAATTTATTGTTCTCAGATAAATAACTGTAAAATACTTAGTGATAACATAATTGATAATCTTCACTTTTAAAATGTTCAGCGTAAAAAAAGTTATTATCTGAAATATTGAGCTTTGCCGATTTCTGTGATCATATACTAAGAACATCGTCCAAAATATTGGTTTTATGCTAAAAAATATTTATATTGCCAACACAATTTTTTTACAGTGAACTAAATTAATAAATTTAAAATAAATTTCAGGATTTCGTTTATTAAATATCTTATCAAATTTCTTTTCTTTAAAAGAAATGAAATTTGTGTTGATATAATAAATATGATTATTTTTAAAGGTCTTTTTAACTCCATTATTTAATTTTTGATTTAAATTATCAGTAAATAAGTTGAATTGTCGGTTGAAATTGTTATGGCGAAATTGATGTAAGTAAAAATATGTAGTTATTATGTTTTGTACTTTTAAATGAGTATTATTCCTAATGTCCTATATATAAGTTTTGTTGAATCTATGCACTCTAAAATAATTAAACTCAAAATTATTTAAATATTTAATGTTATTTATACTTGAGCGGAGCTCGTTAATTATGTTATCTAATGAAGTAATGCTATGGTTCTACATATTTCATTTAACAAATTCCGCAAAGAAAAATATATGAATAACATCATTTGCTTTACGGACACATTTACTATCATTGTTCTGATTATTTGATTTCAGATAAGCACTTAGGAATATCATGTATCTTTGTCATGAATACACATCAATTTAGGTAAAGAAAAAAGTAAAGATTCATTTTAAAAGTAACGTATATCCTTGAGATCAGGGTCACTTTCTGTCAATCCCAGTGAGGGCGAGTTGGTAAAAATCTATTATTACATACATTTTTTTATAAGTTTCTCCATTATTTTATTCTTTTTTTCTTTGTGTCTGATTCGGGTTTGGTATAGCATCTATGAAATTTCATAAAAAGAAGGTTATCATCTGAAATATTGAGCTTTGTCGATTTCTGTGATCATATACTAAGAACATCGCCCAAAATATTGGTTTATGCTAAAAATATTTATATTACCAAAACTTTTCCTGGCATCATATGTGTAATAATAAGAATTCCTTTATGTTAAACTTCACTCCAGTTTCTCTAAACGAGATGAAGAAATCATTTCATTTATCCATAATCATGATCTATTTTCTTAATCAATCGTTATCTGCACTAAAGTAACGGGCTCAAACTTTTAATAACTGCCTTCATGTTAAGGTATTTTTTTATAAAAAAAAAGTACTCATTAGAGCAGAAAAAGTACCCAATAAGTACTAAAATTTTGATTATAGGTTAAAACATGGTAGTTGTTGAAAGGATCAAGTCACGAACCCTTGCTTATGCCTTCAGAAAAGAATTTAAAACTTGAAGAAAGATTTCTTGTGACTTATTTAAAATGACAATCAATACTCTGAAAATGCTATATATTTGGAAAAAAAACTACAGCTTATGATTTTAAAAAAAACAAAAAAGATGGGACTAACGTCGTCTCATGATCCATGACATCATCAGTAAAATATAAAAAAGAATTATCAATAAACTGCTACATTGCTTGTAATGCATGATTTAATTTTAGTTAATGCTGAAAAATTAATTAATATAGAACAAAACTTTATTTCAATTTTTTAAGAGAAATTTCATTTACAGTCTCTATAACTGTTACAGAAAAGAATAATTTTCTTTTCACAAAATAACAGCTTTTAAAGGCTTTAGCATATTTTTTTAATTCAACTAATTATCCTTAATTTATGTCACTTTATTAAATTAGAATAACATCATATGGTTTTTAAAAAATAGTATAGTTTTTTTAATGTTTAAGTCTTCTAAGTTTTAAGTTTTTTATTTTTAATGCATTTTGTGCCCTTCCTTTCTCCGTTTAACAACTGAAATATGATCATTCATGGAAAAAATTAAACTAGCTCGTTCTGCATCAAATATTAATAATTAAAGAATTTTAAAATTAATACTTTTAAAAAATGAATAATAAAAAATGTTTCAAAATGTATAATATTAATATTTTAAAAGTATATTAATATTTTAAAAGTAATTGCAAGTATTATAATAATTAATTAAAATAAGTAATTATAATATTTTGAAACATTGATTTTATAAATAAAAAAGTTAAGAAAATGTCTTTACTGTAAATGATTAAAAAAAAACAAGGACGCATAGAACGAACACATTAACGAACTTCAGTGACTGAGTTTACAGCTCGATGAAGTAGCACAGTTTGATAGATTTTTTTTTTTGGTCGTATGCCTGTTTAGGCAGTGGGGATGTGATTGTTCCTGTTTTTTTACAGTGGCGCCATCTATGGCCAGGAGTTCGACTTCTGCCACGCCATTCACAACCCGTTTATAGGGCGGGTCACATTCACACACAAAGGAGAAAGGACATAGAACACACAGAGAGAGAAAGAAACATCCATGCCTTGCCCGGGATTCGAACCCAGGACCTTTCTGATGTAAGGACAGTTCCCTGCCCCCTACACAGGCCGGTTGGCGTTTGATAGATTATTCTCAGAATATGAGCTTTTTCAAGCAACGGGAAATACATTAAAATATGGTTCTTTAAATCGATGCTTCTTTTTTTAACTTTATACTATTACAAGGAGTTTTTCTTTTTTTTTTTCATTTACTTAAAATGAAAATCGAGTTTGAAAAAGACTATATCACTAATTATTTTTTCTCCGAAGTAAATTTAAAAAACTGATAAAACTAATGAAACAATGCAGAGGAAATGAAATGAAGATTTAGATTCCATATCGAAAAAATATCACTTGATGTGTTTGCTATATTCCCGGTATTTTTATTGCAGCTTTTAATTAGATTTTCTTAGAAATTTACAACTTTGCACTTACAACTCATTACAATTTTTCGTATTCAAGTAGAACACTTATCTACTTCATTATACAGTATAAATTAGTTTATTGACGAATCATATAACTTCCTTATCTAGCTTACAGAAAGACATTGGATTTCAGGTGTAAATAACAGTTTTTGAAACTGAAAACTACTATGGATAGTTAAAAAAAAAAAGCCTTACGTTAATTTTGTTCTTATCCGTTGATTTAAAAATTTATATAAAGAAACAGCATACTTATAAACCTTTCATAACTTGTTTATTATCAGATTGGGAAAAATATATTTTTAAGTTGACATAATATTTCATTTATTTTCATAATAACAAGTGATTTTTTTTTTCAGATAAGAGCTTAAGCCAAAAAAAATGGCAAATGCAAAAGAAAGAAACGGAGAAAAAGATTCCAGTGCTGAAACTTCATCCGGAAGCAAAGGTACTGCTGCTACTGGAACAGTACGTCCTAACTGGAATGTCATGGCGGTAAGAGGAAAAGTTACAGACAAATGTCTATGGTCTGCTTGCAAAGCTATGACTGTAGGATTTCTTTGTATAATCATTGGGGCTGTTATGGCTACTTTAGGTTTTTATACCGATCATTTATCAAAAGTAGAAGAGACAAAAGGTAACACAACTGTATGGGTAAAAAATGAAGCTAAAGATTCTAACTTAGGGTTTCTCACATACTTAGGACCAGTTGTAATGGGAATAGGTGGATTTACAATAGTGGCCGCTTGCGTTATGACATTTGAAGCTCGGGATACAGCAGCCAAAATCGTTCCAATATGGTTCAAACGCACAAGAATCCATGTAGTTTCTGGCGGAAGTGGAAGTACTCCTTCTGGTAGATCCAGCAAAGCTTCATGGGAAAGATTTCTTTCACAACAAAGAAGCAGTGAAGATACAGCAGATACTCGAACAGCGGTAACTCAAGCTTTAGTGAATTTCAGCAAATATCTGCAAAACAGTGTTGATACAAACAAAATTGCCTTGAATCAAGCAACTACGAAAAATTCTCAAAACATTGGGTTAAGAAAATGTCCCTCTGAACCCAGTTTAGCTAAACTGCAACGAGATCCTCATGGTAATAATTTTCCAGAAGCTATAACGTTATTAGAAGCAAGCACACCCCAGCCCTCGCAACGCACCACTTACGGAGGTGGTCTTAAAACTATTACTGGAGCTTCAAAGCCACAATTACTCTCCGTGGCGCCTGATACATATCGACAAGCTGTATCAATGGACTGTCCGAGATCCTCAAGAATACATGGTGAAAACGATGAAAATGAATCGGTGGAATCAGCAACAAAATCTAACCTCCAGCCATCGGATATAAATAGGTTACAAACATTGACTTTCCAAACGTCATGTGCTACTAGCTCAAGTGGTTCTATGTCAGTAGATATTTATCTCCCCCAAGGAGCTGTCACTCTAAAAGTGCATGATGAAATGAAAAATCAAAAAAGATCTCCTCTTAAACCAGAGTACTCTGATGATAGCAGGTGTACCAAATTCAGTCAACACAGTGATATGCATTCGTTTGGGGACGATGAACTTTTTTTATCAACTGATTTAGATGACAGTGTCTTCACTAATCAAGAACTTTCTTCAACCCCACAAATAGTTCTTGATTCTTTGGAATCAAAAGGTAATGATCAATCAAATCAGAGTTATTCAGACAATCATTCAATTTCTAGCAAAGATAAAACCACTGTTGAAATGTGGGCATCAAAATGTCACACTTCATTTAGTAATACTGAAAATAAATCAGAATCCATGGAAGTTCAAACACCAGGCACCTGTTCAGTCTACTCCAATTTTTCTACAAATTTTTCTTTTGACTGTTCAGAAAAGGACTCTCCAGGTCTTAGTATAGAATCAGTGATTTCAAATCCCTTTTCATCTCGCATAACGAGTCAATTTTCTCCAACGCAAACTGATATGAGTTTAGTAAATATCAGTTCTCTAAATTCTATGGGATCTTCACAAGATATCAATTCACCACTCGTATTTTGCGGAAGCCCTTCTACCTCTGATGCCTTTGATTACAGTCAGGAAACAATCGCAAAAGAGAAAAAGGCTCAGGAAAGTATGAGTGCTATGAAATCTCATGGTGGAATGAAGTATGAAAATACAAAACGTAAAGTTCACTCAGTCTCTGAGTCAGTTCGAAAACACGTATCGATTACTTTAGAACCAGATCAAGTTGAAAAAGGACCGAAAAGTAGCCCAAGAAAACACAGTTCTTTGGAATCAGCTCAAATACAAACAAGATCCCAAACTAGAGCTTCTGGAAGTCCAAAAAGACATCAACATTCCTTAGAAAGCTGTAACGTAAAAATTCCTGAGGATACATTATTTGCGTCAACTCAACGATTTCTTAGCCCCAAGCCCTCATCTCCAACTTTACCATCACCAGCAGCTTTTTCTCCAAGGAAAACTAGATCTGAAAGTCTGCCAGAAAGAAGAGCACCTTCCATCAAAAGATTTCCTCTTCTTCGACAAGGTGCTTTAGATTCATTTGCTGAAGAAGGGGGATCAACGCATAGACTAGATCGCTCTCAAACTCAAATTTCCCCGAAGGATCCATAATTACTTAAAAAATCTCTTTTAACTAATTTAATTTGTTACTGGTTCTGTGATACACTAAATGGCAAAAGTGACTAAGATAAATGTGCCAAGTCCATTTAGATTAATATTTTGTCTTTTAACATCTTTTGTCAATTTTTTATCAGTAACACTTGATGTAAAGATCACTAGTGTTAAATATACCTGAAATTTGATGTTACTTATATGAGCAAACCTCTATCTAAAATTGATCATATTATGTGCTTTAAAAACAAAGCATATTTTTTTCCATATTTTAATATTATTGATATGAGTTTTTATTACTCTTCAAAAAGACTTTTTTCAATCAAAATCACATCCTGTCCATCCATTTTATCATTCATTTTTAAAGAAAGTTTTTATTAACTCTTTTTTTAGTACTTTACCTTGATGCGTTTTTTAAAAAAAGTGCTCACTATGAAAAACTATTACAACTTTGACCTTTTTATGAAAAAATTTCTGCATGTTAAATTGACTGTGCGTTAAAAACTGTTTAAAAAGCAATATCGTTTTAGAATTTTCACAAAAGGATTCATGGTAAAATTCAAAACAAATTTTCCAAAAACTATTACTTTTATACATTAAATTACTTTAAAAAATATTTCGTTACAGAATTTTTAAAAAATATTCGTGATAAATTCGCAGATTTATTTTCCAAGAATAATGATTCAGAAGGAATAAAAAACAAATCAATGAAATCGCATAAAAATTACATCGTTCAGAACAAATCAAATGCCATTAAAGATTAATTTATCATCAAATTATAAGAACTTAGTAATTAGAATATTTAGAAAGCGATATTTACGAAGGTGAACCAACCCTTAAAAATAATTTAATATCCCTTCCTTTTATTTTCCTCCTGTTTTAAGAAGCTCTGACTCATGTTAGTGCGTTGACTATCATTGAAATCAAAACTAATTTTAATGACCTTATCTAAATCATGTTTAAAGTCAGCATAGGTTTTAAAATGACTAATCACTATGAATAAAATAATATCTAGTTTACACTTTAAAAAATTCCGGATGAAATCAAATTTTACGGTAAAAAGGTAGTTTTTACCATAAAATTCCCTTTCACCGGAACATGTTTAGGAACATAAAATCTAATATACCGTAAAATATTCACTCTAATTAAATAAATAACTCTACTTAAATATCGCTGTAAAAATTACAGTATAATATTTTACGTAAAAAATTGATTTTACGGTAATATGGATTTGGATGTTGGATGCTCCAAAAGTGCCGATACTTTATACCGTATTTTGACCCGGAATTTATTAAAGTGTGGTAATTTTACTTATGGAAAACTATAATGAAGACAGAGTTTATTGTAAATATTTAAGAATAATACAATTAATATATAATCCATGTTGTTAAATATATATATATGTACAAAATACAAGCAAATTTCAAACTATTGATGTTGAAAATGTAAGTTTTATCATGTTAAAAATACAGATAAAAACTGCTTCAGTTCCTTACTAATTTTATATTGTATTAAATATTAATAAAGTGTTTGTGTTATAATTTGTAAATCTTCGGCAATTTTTAATTATTGATGTTGAAAGTATAAAGTATATCGTGTAAAGAATATTGACAAAAACTGCTTCAGTTTCACAATAATTTTATATTAGATCATATTAAAGCACTGTTATTGTATTTTTAGACATTCAAATATTTTTTGTAGCAGCTTTAAGATATGCTTTTTTGCTTCGAGCGCTTTATTTTTCAAAAAAATACGTTTTATTTATAATTAGCTAAAACATGTTTCTAATTACTTGACTTTTGCGTTTTATTTTACTTAATAAACTAAAGCTATGGCGGATCAAATTGCGCCTTTTACATTTGATTGTATTCATAATGATATAGTTTAAATTATCGCCGTCTATAAATGGCATTTTTAAATATTTTGGTCATTTATAGATAGATAATGTTAAAACCGTAATTAAAAAACTGATTTCAAATATGAGTTTAAAATTTAATATTAATCCTAAATATTGAAATTTTTAATAATTCTGTTTTTGTGAACTTGTTTAATGATAATTTTAAATGTCAATGATAAAAAGAAATTAAAAAATGTAGATATCAATACAAAAGATTGTACAAAATTTTAAGTTTATTAATTAAAATCTTTAATTTTTGAAATCAAAGCACTTCAGAAAAAAAAACAAAGATTTCTTCAGTTGATGTTTCTTCGAATAATTTTTTTTTCTCCTTGGAGAAATTTTTTTTAAATTATGCACAAAAACTTTTTTTAGCAATTCAGGTGATAATGCTTTTGTTAAAAAAATAATATTTTCAGAATTAATGATTACACATTTTCAGAAATAAAATTCTCGCTTTTGACAATTCAGTAATCCTTAAGCAGTATTTCGTTATAATTTTGAAAATCATTTTATCACGAAATTACGTGATTTGTGACGAAACGCGAACTCTCAAATATATGACAAAAATGTTTCCTCTACTCGAGACCTCATCGTAGTGAATTTTGAGAGATTGATAACTGGAATGACAAAACCAGAATAAAGATTAGACAATCAAAAATAAAGTGACGAATTTAGCTGACCGGCTTGTATTGTAGACAAGGAGTCGACCTCATACCATTTAGATCCAGTATTCGAATCGCGCTTCGGGTATGGGTGTAGTTTCCGTTCTATTTGTCCTTGTTGCGTTGTGCCACTTATATGGATCCCACGTCAAAATGATTACTAAAATTAGATACATTAGACAGTACTTTACTTTTTTTTGGAAAAAAAATCAAATGACGAAATATTTTTTTTTAATTTTGACTAAATTTATTTCCTTTAATAAGTGACGATAGTTATTTCATCACTTAGACGAAATTTTTGCTCGAAGCAAATGCCAGGAGACGGTTTTGTCAAAAACAAAGAAAGTTTCATGATATTTGAGTATCCGTTTTTACAGTGCAGGTGTTCTAACATAAAGTAAGACCTTTTTATAATTATGTTTATACTCAATATTTCATTTAATTCTTCTTGTTGAGACATTTTAGTTAGAGCATTCATTATTTGTCAATAATAAATTCTAAATACTCAATTACATATTTAGTAATTTCAACGTTGCGAAATACAAAAAATCTTTATAACTCTTTTCAGATAAAGTACACCATGGACTTTTAATTATTTTAGTTTAAACGTAAAAGATTTTCACTCAAAGTAATGTTATTACCAATGGAGTCATTCCAAAATTTATTTAGAAGACATAGTTAAGACAATTTCAGCAATTTTAAAAAAAATTATTCACTTAGTACCACGTTTAATTGGCAAATTAATAAAGTAATTAAAATTATGGAGCTTCGATTATCAAAAATTATGCAATTTAATTAATAAAACTTATTTTCTAAATAAAAAAAAATTACCATTATCTTAAAATGACCAATTTATGAAACTGTGATTATTATAATACATATCTAAAAAAGTTTAATTTTAAATGTGTTACGTAATTAGAAAATGCACAGTTGATGCATTTTCCAAATAAATAGAAAATGTATTCAGTTTTTAAAATATTTAAAGACTATAGTAAATTTGTTAAAGTAAAGTGAACAATAGTAAAAATTACAGATTTATCTTTGTTAAATAAAGGATAGTTTATTTTAAAAAATCACATCGCATAGGTTTCTGCAATATTTTAAAGCAATGATGTACCTACATCTCCTGGAATTACTATAAATGACATATTAAGATAGATATTAATTTCTTTCTTTTATGCTTTGATTTTGTTTCACATTTTAAAAATATTTCAATTATTTACAATTAACAAACAAGTCCATTTAGGAACCCTTTTTTTAAATTTGTAGCTTACTTGCAAAATGCTTTTTTCTCAGTCATAAAATATTCAAGTTACAATAAAAAATTTAAACTCTAAAAAAAAACATTTTTACTATCTACTATCTGTACCTAGTTAAAAAAACATATAAAAATAACAGAACAGTTTCAATTTACGAGCTTTATAATAACACTCAATGCCTTGAGTAAACTGTAGCTATAATTGGGGTAATTTCTTCCCCTTAAAATATCATGGGGTAGGTTCCATAAAAAGTCCGTATTGATAATATTTTCGCTGAACTTTATTTAAATCTTTATTTAAATAGATGAAGAAAAAAAATCGGATTTTTGAGTAATTCTTAAATTTAAGAATAAACTTAAATAATGCTTTCTTTAATAATTTTTCCAAACATAAGGCATTAATGTAGCAAAAGTTCAGATACTAATATTAAATTTAACACTATTTCATTGGAAATTGAGTTGGTTTATTAGCATCTATCCTAATTAAAAAGAGTTTTTATTTGAATTTTTTTAACTTTCACATGGTAACATATAATAACAAAACAGTGATGTCACGGACTTTCTTAAAGCATAACTTGCGCGCTTGTGGTATCGAAGTATGTATTTAATGTCTGTTAAATTCGTAGTAAATAATTTATAGTTTACTAAACATTTTTACTCTTGTAATTAGTTTTTAAATGCGAAACTATAATAAAAGTTTAGGTGAATAGAAGCAAAACTATCTTATTTCTTGCATATACTTTATAATAATACTTTATAATAGTGAAAACAAATATTTGTTAGGAGTAACAAAAATTATTTTAAGTAAGTTTTAAAAGAACTGCTATCATCAAAATAAAATTTTAAGAATAATTTTTTTCTTTTTTTTTCTTAAGTTTTGAAATTTCCTAACTGAAAGAAAAATAGATTTATGTATTGATTATTGTATTGTTGTGACAATAAGGAGCTTACAAATATACAATAGAGTTACGTAATAATGACAGAGAGATTTTACAAAACGTAACGATTTCCCCTTACTCCTCACACTATTTAAGCTAAGGAGTAAAAAGTAAGATTAGCATTATTGTTAAAGTTAGACAAACTCTATGCACAAATATCACAATCCTAATAAAAGGCGGAAAACTGAACTTACTGATCTTAACTGCAACGGGGCTCATTAATATTTTTATTTTCTCAGCTGTAATAGAACTTCACATTTGATTTTAAACAATCAACAACAAGAAAATTAAATTCAAATTATTTTAGAATTTTCTAACAGAATTAGCTCTAAATATGTTTTAATTCATAAAATTGTTTTGGTGGTTTTTGATAGTTTTCTTCATAATATTTTTGGGATATAATATTTTTGTACGTTTCTGAACTGCTTCAAAATAAACTTCTATGTTTTATAAAACTCAGACTTTTTTTAATAATTAAATATAATTTATTTAGGAATAAAATATAAAATTTAAAAATATTACACAACGCTTTTACTTTTTGTGTATGACTCTCAAGCAAAGTAATGGTAATTGCTTGTTTTCTTTTCAACGAATTACTAAATCAAGCAAATTAACGAGAAATTAGATTTCTCAATTGCATATTTTTACACATTCCTCCCCATAAGGTATATTTGATTCAAGTTCCATTTCCAAAGTTAAAATGTATGAATAATTTATTTTTACGAAAAAAGAAATTCTTAGGAAGTTAAGTTTTGAAGGGAAAAAAATAGCAAACATTTAAGTTGGTTATTTGGTATCCCAGTATTTTTTCATTATTTTCTAAATAAAATATAACGAATGAAAGTTTCAGAAAATATCTCGACTGTAAAATTTCACACAAATCTGACTTAATATTTCGCGTCTGGAATTTCACAAAAAATTAAATTTTCCATAATTTGAAACCTCTCCTTTGTAAGGCCTTATGAAATTCAGAGCAAGAACTCTGTCCCAAATTGGTGAGTAAAACCAGTAGGGAATGTTATAAAGAAACGTATAATTTATTATCTAAATATATCACCTATCATTTTACTAAATTTAATTAGATTGTAGAAAATCATGCATCACGAACATATTTAGAATCTTTAATTGTGTAAAAGATTCGAAAAGAAATTAAATGTTCTTCAATGCAAAAGCTTCTATCCAAGTTTGTAAAACGAAATATATTGAGTAACATAATAAAATATTTTATAATTTATCTTTCATCCATTTAAAATATTATTATATAAGTGCATTATATTTGTTTGCGCAGAAAGTTTCTGATCACTTTCAGCAGCTTTCAATGCAAGTTTTTATGTAAAAATTTCAACTAAGGTTAATTTCCAATATTAAAACAGAGGTAATTTTTTCTGGTAATAAATAAATAGTAATAAATAAATAGTAAAATAAATAGTAATTTAAAAATAAATAAATAGTAAACGCAAATGCAATTATGTTTTTTTAAATGCATTACAAGCCTTGCATCGTTTTCTGGTAAAAGTGCTTACTTCAAATATCCTCTTTTAATTGAATATTTATTTTTATATAATAATTAAGCTTAAGTTATCAATGATGTACATAAATTCATATAAATAGAAAATCAGTAGATGAAAAAGCTCGTAGTTTTTCTTACTCAAA